TTTTGGTTTTCATCAAAGAAAAAAAAAAAACAACTAAAGAAAAGAAAAATTTATTTATTTTTTTTCTTTTACAAAAATTTAAAACAATTCATAATGTGTAAAATGAAAGTTTAGACAAATAACTGCAAAAAACTGCAGTATTAACTGGCAACAAATAACACTTATAAATTCTTCATTCAAAATGGTTAAAATTTTTTGTTCAAACTACCAATATTACAGAATGAAAACTGAAGGTTACAAATTGCAGATAAATCAGAAACCTGGGCTCCTAGATTCTGGTTTCTCTCTACAGCCCGTAATAGCAATATAAGTATCGATGATCACAGTACATCATGTTTTTATGATGTTTATTTCACGGAATCAGTTTATCACAACCGTGGACAAGATGATGGAGTTGCTGTTGCTGTCATTGTTGTACTTTCGATGAACTCTAAGGATGTTGGTAAAAGAAAAATATTCTCCGAAAGAGATTCTATAGAAAAAAAGTTTAACTTTTTAAATAGGATTTTAAAACAAAAAATTCTTCGCTTTTCTGAGAAGTTTCAGAATTCCAAAATTATATTGATTGCCCATAAAACGAAGGAACTGAGTATTGAGAAAAAAAAAAAACTCTTCTTTTTATGATTAACGTCTAATACAGGTAAAAATTACTGAACTTTATCCATAGTCATTTTAATGATGTAAAATGATTCAATTGACAATTTCCTTTATCAACTTCACATATCCATCCACATATTTCCATAGATTAAATTTGTAGTTGCTTCTGTAGTTTTACCAACTCCTTACTTCTTCATAACTGTTTTTTACATCCTGAACATACAGGATCAGAATTCTTGACAATTCCCTACATTCACCGTTTATAACGACGGCATTAATGTAGATACCAGTAAGAAAACTATAATTTAATCCCACAATACAATATGTTTACAGCAGTAAATCATCAAAAAAACAATGAACAAAAAATTATTACTGATATATTTTTTCCTTTTTTTTTCTTCATTTTTTTTTTTTTTTTTT